TTATCTGTCTGCTCTGCCTTCCAGTCGCACTGTCGGTGCAGGTTGATAAGTGAGGGGGGGGGGCTTTTTCATTTGGCGCTCTAGGACTTTTAGTAACTCCTGATTTTTCCCAAGTGAAATACAATCCTGCCTCCAAGCTTAGATTTGTTCTGCACTGCCGCTTGCCTGTCCGCTCTCTGCCCAGCTCATTTAACCTTCTCAAGCCAATTCCTTTTGGAAAACTAAATGTTCTCTCTATGCTCACTTCTCTATCCGGAGGTCACGGATGAGCTGTCAGGGCATTTCTGAAGTCACACACTATAAGACACCTGTATTTCAGTACTGAGTTAAGTCTCAACTCGTGAATTTCAGGTTCTCAGTCCGGGTTTATCTTTCAGAGGTGTCGCCATAGTAACGTGCGCTGGAAGCTGCGAGTCGGGAAGAACAAGATCCTGGGAGAAGGCGGCTGAAATGAGATTCCTCTTTAGGGTGGATGGACTCAGCTTTAGAGATAGGGTAAGGAGTTTCCTAGGGGAGCTTGTAAATAGAGGTACTACTTCTCTGAATTGACAACTAGTTATTAGTTGAGTGAGGTGTGGAGTCATGAGGCCTCCTTCTGGCCTCTTTTATAGTTTTTCATGTCCAACTTGGAGGAGCTTTGCTAAGTTGAAAGCGCCCGTAGTTCAGGTACTTCCTCAATTATGTAATTGTTTTTGCATTTTAGCATTTTGCACCCCAGCACATAATAGATTCATCTCACTGTTAGTGGCTTTCAGAAATGTTTCTCAGCTCCTTCTTCCTTATTTTCCCTTGTGTTCAGTTTCCTCAGAAAGTTTGCAAAGTTTTCAATTTTTATCAACCATCAAACAATCATCACATCCTGAGCGGTTTTACAAGAAAAAGTGTGGTCTCACAGTGTGTTCTGAACAACCTTATTATCTCTGGCATGTTCCTTTCAGTATTCTGTTATTGGCCCATTATCTAAACCAGTGAAGTGTGACACTGGTATGCAGTTCCATTCCTGTTCTTATGATTATTTACTTGTCTTTTGCCACCCCTGTCAAACGTGGTTTTAAAGAAATAAAGTAAGCTTTAAACTGGCATCAAGCAAGAAAATCATTGAATGAAAGGAGGAAAAAAAAACTTAATCTGTTTTAAAGGATTTTGAAAAGGCAGCAAAAGGTTTGCCAAATATTTATTACCTGCACACTTCGCAGGTAATAAATATTTGGCTTTGGTTTTGTGTTTTGCTTTGTTTCAGTATTTTTTTTATATATTTTCCTCCCAGTAGCTGCGTTTCCATTACAAAAACTTTATATTCAGCTAATGTCATCAGAAACACAATTAAAATCACACGTGAATAAGTTTGACGTGATAAGTCATTTAAAAACATGCCGCACCAACATCCTCCAACTACTTCCAACATCTGGTTGTTGATTATGTTTCCACTGCAGTTTTGCAAAATAAACCAATTTTAATATGACCCCCCCCACCCAAAAAAGCACCTCAACTGAGCAGCTAAATGTTAGTGTGACAGTTTTTTTTAGTGTTTCCATTAAGCAAATTTATTTTCATGTCATTGGAAACACAGCTAGTGTGTTCAATCAGCCATTTCTCCCAGGTTCTTGCCTTCCCTCACAGCTGCACCCAGTTTCTAATCACCTCTCCAGCTTAAGTATCTCTTACTTGGCTCCTCCTGTTTTGTCTCTGACATGTTTCCTAGTTTCTCTTGTGATGTATTATTTTGGATTCCCTCCTTTTTTTTTTTAGTAAGTTTTTACATTTTGTTGAGTAAAAATATATATTTTTTTCCCCCCATCTGCCTCCTTCTTGCATTTGGATCCTGCTCTTCACCTTGACATGACATTTATGCAGCTTTTTCACACTTAGATGTTTCAGATGATCAAATAAACAGCAATGAAATGATTAAAACATCTTAAGCAAACTTGACAGAAAAAAGAGATATAAAGTCTGCAAGGAGGCCAACACTTTTTAACTCAATCACAAGAGTTAACATCAAGCCGGACACCTTCCCTCTCTCTGCAGATCTTTATTTGAAGACTGACATGCCCAGTCCTCCACAGATTTATGCAGAAATGGATGATATGGGCGCAGCAGATCACAGAATAGACTTTACACGGAAATTTCCATCAAAAGTGTCTTGCGGCATTGTGTCTCCCGCTAGCTGACTGCTTCTTTCAAACTCTTATCAAGCCTCTGGATCGCAACAGGAAAACATTTGCATCTAGAGATAAAAGTGTAGCGAATAAAAGAAAACCAGACACGTTAATGTCTTTAACTGACAGCATTGCAGATTTACTCAGCAGAAGCCTGTTCCAGATTTAAACCCATTAAGCACAAATCATCTCTGGGCTAAAAATAAACCATATCTAGGTTAAACATAAAAGCAGAACAAAATCGAGTGAACACAGACAAGTCTTTTGCTACTTTTTTTGTTGTTGTTGAATAAAACAAAAAAATCACATTAATAAAACACAAAACATAAAACTTCTTCTGTAGTTGAGCTTTAGGAAACTGCTATTCCCAGGAAGCCTCCCACTCCAGGAGGTGCTGTTGGTTACAGAGGACTTTGTCTTGAGTGGGAGCTGTTGGTTTTCCAGGACAGCAAACTGATCAGAGATTGAGCTGTGTGGGTTTTTTTCCTGTCACCATCCACGCCTTGCAGTTAGACTGACTCAGGTTTGCAGAGCTTAAGGCATTACCTCTCCTCTTTTGTGTATTTTAGTGTTTTGAGGAGACTTACGCCAGCTCAGATAAACAGGATCTCACTCTGTCAGGGGTTTGGGGACTAGTTTTATGACTACTATCTGCTGTGTTGCTTGGGCTTCATGATGCCGTTTGTTCTCTGATGTTCTTTAACAAACATTCGACACCTTCACAGAGGAGCTGCATTCATAGGAAGCTTGAAACACACACAGGTGGGCTCTGGAAGTACTAGAAACACTACATTTTATTTAGTGCAGTGTCAAAATCCTAGTGCACGTCACAATTTTAAAAACCATGTACCATTTTCTGTTCCTTTAGCAACCACGACCTCTGTGTTGGTCTACATAGGATCTAAATATGGTTGTGCAACGAAATGTGGAGTTCTGGAGGCATGAATACTTTTGCAAGCTGCTGTATCATTCTGTTGTGCCTGATAATGCCGTTTGAGATCACAGAAGCTGGGTTTGACTTTACTTAAGCATACCCGTGTTATCGTAAAACACCCTGAAGTCTAAGTTGCTTTAGTGCTTCATTTCAAGTTTCATTTCAGATTCACTCAACAGTTTCAAAACCCTAAAATCTTCCCTGTTTTCCAATCCAGCACGATATACAATATATATATATATATATATATATATATATATATATATATATATATACACTTAGCTTTTTTAAATGATGGAAACCAGAAGGGTCTCATTTTGCAACTTTTTTGGACACATGTACCAAATCTGATTAAACCTGCAGCATGGGAGACAGTTGGTGGGGAATCAAAGTACAGGGAAGCAGAACATATATTTCTATCAGAGTTGAAGACTGGCCATTGCTTTAAAAAGCACTTTTAGGTAGTTTTTTAGATGTTGTGGTAGAATAATTACCTCATAGATGAGTGATACCCAGTGTAATGGATGCAAAAAAATAAAAAAAAATAAATTAAAATAATAAATGTAACCAAACTTTCTGCTTGCATTAATTAATGAAACCAAGAGACAAGACCAGTAACAGAGGAAGCTTTGACTGAGGGCTTTCTTAGATTGAAAACTGTTTTTAAAATCAATGCATTTAATAAACTGAACTTGACTGCATTGTCAAATCAAATTAAAATTTCTGTCAAAGTTTGAATTTGAATGTATCTGGATGATTGGATTGACTTTTATTGTAAAGCGCCTTGAGATAACATTTAATTGAAAATTGAATTAAATCAACAATTTAATTAAATTCACCAATGTGAAAGTGGTAGAGAGAGAGAGAGAGAAAGAGAGAGAGAGAAACTAAGGTCAATATATTGGGGAGAGTGATTACTGGAGGGTAAACAGACGAGGTATTAAGCAGATGAAAAACACCTGTAAGAAGAGCAGAAACCTGAGGCACCTGATGCGATGAAATGAGATCTTGTGATAATAAAATGTCACAATGTTCCTTGGCTGCTCTAGAGAAGGTTAGCTTTCCAGATTAGATAGCGTGACCATGAATGTACTGACTCTCAACCAATCGTTGCCCTGAGAAAGTGAAAATAGACGCATAGAAAGATTAGTGCTGCATACACTATCCTTTCTTATTCACTTTTTCCTTTTAGTGTCAAGAGTTACAAAACTACATCCAAAATATCTGAGCGATATCTCAGCAGAAGTGACTGTTATACAAAAACAGAGGATGATTTCTACAAAAGGCTGTTCCTCTAAAGGTTTAGTTCAGTCAGACCTCCTAAAAGTATCCTCAATAGTTAAAGTTGTGTTAGACTGCTACAATAATTACTGAGGAGAGAATTGTTACTTTGCTGATGTCACTGAAAAGATCACAGAAAGTTGTAGGATTTTCAAATGTCTGAAGATCCGCACAGCAGTGGAGCACAGTGCTGGTGGCTTGTATGCCGCAGCAAAAACTTAACGCCACGGTTGACAGAATTACCAAATCTTTTGGTGAACAGGTTCCGGAAAATAATATGTGGAGGGATTTAACTTCAGGCATCGGGATCAAATGAAGAGCCCCAAATGTTAGATTAAAGCTCTGTTTCCCCCTCAGTGATTTAACTCATTAAGATCAATCCACCATGATTAGCAGGTTGACACTTTTCACAAGAACATTTTGTAACGGTTCACAAATTAACTCAGTCTTCTGTAAAAAAAAAATAAAAATAAAAAAATATAATTACACTAGGAAAAAAAATTGATTTGGAAAAAATATATATACTTAAAAAGCTTATTTGAACATCAAATTCAACAACCTCTAACTTTTTATACTCAAGAGCAACACATAAACATCTGCACGCAATATTTTTGTGGATCTTGACTTACATTTTGACAAATGGGTCAGAGTAGCCGTTGGAGTCCATGGCGGCCAGATGGGCACAGCGTATGATCCCAACCAGCAGGCAGCCCTTCTCTGTGTTGTAGCACAACGACACCAGGATGCGTCCGCGCTGGGGGCAACAAAAGCACAAACAGTTTTCAGACACACCCTGATCTCTCTCCCACTTGGAGGACTGCAAATGTCACCAAGTTTCTTCAAAAATAATTTACCCAAAGTAATTAAAAGGAGCATTAGGAATGTATTTGATACTTTTACATTTAGTCCATTGTGCATGCCTGGAGGTTTCAAATTAAACCTTGTAATTACATGCCTTATCTGAGTCTGGCTAAAAGGCACTACTCTCTTCTTGCTTTAATCTTCGGGGTGAACCAGAATCCGAATCTAATCAGAGACCGGAGGCTATTAGTTTCTGTCTCGAAATCATGAAGAGAAATTAGATGAAGGCCATGAGAGGAGTAAAACACCAGACTGGTGTCATTTTCACACTGATGATATGCGGTGACCATCAGAGCGTTTCCATTGCTCTCCTAGACTAATAAAGTTCATGCTTCAGATTCAGATTAAAGGTGTGCAATTACACTTTTTAAGATCTTTTTTTTTTTTTCCAAACATGATATATTACAGAAGGTGACGTTTTGATTACCTCTTCCTCTGCCACGACTGCTCCCTGCTCCACCAACTGATTGTTAGTTTCCTTATTCTGAAAAGAGACAAAATTCTTCTGTTTGGACATTTTGATTTTTTTTTAACAAGGGCTGCACGACGTTAGGAAAACGTGACATGAGAAAATAATGGTGAATGTTACAACAACCATACAACGTACGATAAATAAATACTTAAAAACTGTCAATGTGTTTCTGCTTTAGGTTAGCTGCAAACAAACCCCAGATAATGAGTACAGATACTGGTAAAAAAATAAATCTCATTGTTTCTATCTCAACAAGAAGGTTTTAATAAAAAGTCTGCTGAATCGGCATAGAAATAACCTCTTTGTAACTTACTACGTGTGTCATCAATTATAATCCAACATCTTTCTATGCTCTAGTTCTTAAAGATAAATCTGAATTAGAAAAACTTGTCCCCAAACATTTACAAAAACAAAAAAATCGGAAATTGGTGTCTTGTACATAATGAATTTTATTTCGATTTTTTAATTTGACACGTTTTTGATGTTATTCATACCTGTGCGATTCTCTCCAGGCCCATATTATAGCGTTTGTTCTCACCCTCTTTCAGTTTCTTCAGAGCCACTCTCACCTCCCCAATGAACTCATTTCGTCCAAGTCTGTCCATGTCGCACACACACAGCCTTCATACAAAACACACACACACACACACACACACGCACACACGCACCCAGATGAATACAAGAGAATAAGAGGGGGCGAACAAAAGAAAGTTCTACATTGAGGCCTGCCAGTGCATTCGGCATTCTGAAGCAAGCATCTGCAGCACAAAATGCTTCCAAGTGTAGCCGAGCAGGTGAGCGCTCTTCTCAAAAATCATCACAAGCTGTGTGATTGCTGAGGAGCATGAGTGTTTCCAAAAAAAAACACCCCAAAATCTGTGATTTCCTCACTAAAACTGGAGGATATTAAAGGACAAAAAAAAAATTGCAATCAGACTTTAAGTTTCTGCAGTAACGAGAGCTGTGGAAGAGGCTGATTGCACAGAACAAAATACTGTTTTAAAGTCGATGGCTAGAAAAACTTGGCTGGTGTTTGTGTTGCTAAAAACAACAACAAAAAAACAAAGCATAGCAAAATCACACCCACTTTCTGCCATTTTATCCTCACCTACTTTCACTTTGCTCACCTAAGCAACACATTTTTGTAATATGCACTTTATTTTATTCCACAAGGAACATTTTCCTGGAAGTTGAAGCGAAAGTCTCATGCCTCAGTGTGAAGACAGAAAAAAAGACTGAGAGGTAAAAATAAATGCGACATTTGCGAGAAACAACAACAACAAAAAAACATTAAATACTCATGATAAAAAAAGAAATGTTAAAAACTGAATTTTCTGTACTGTTATTGAAAAACATTAAGCTACTGTGGTTTTAAAACCTGTCAAAAGTTACAAAGTTAGGGGAATTAATCCAAGTTGAGCACGTAAGAAGAATATGTGTGTCTTTAAAATTAAAGAGTAAAATAAAAACTGAACAGTGACCACTATGTAGGGTTAGGTCTGGTACTACTGCAGCTTGAAAGTCATCTATATTAATAGGTTAATTTTACATTTTTACTGCAGTAATACATCAGTCTGATGTTCTGTTGGTCTGAGCTGCCTGGATCTGATTCCTAGTTGGGCCATTTGACTATTTTGAAATATTTTTTTTCTTAAATAAACCAAAACAACTTTAATCCACTCTTTGCTCATGAATATTATTTTACAAAATCACAATGGTGAAAACTATAAAAATCGGATTCCAAAGTCNGAAAAGAAAAATATAAAAGTAAAATGGTGTATGGAGATTAAACTGGTTTTATACTGGTGTCTAGTTTGCCTTTTATAATGTTGTTTGTTCTTTATTTTGGTTCTCATTTGCTATTCGGTTGATGTTTCCGTCTTTCCCCTTGAAACCATAAAAGTTGAATGAATTACTAGCTGTAATATATCAGCATGTCCACACTTTGTAAAAATGTGAAAAAGCAGTATTTCTCTCCATCAATGAGACAGATTCGTAACAGTTAACATGGTAACTCGAAACATATCATTATGGATTTATGAACTTGTGAGTGCTCTTGAATCCACGGCTGTCATTTAACTTCATACCTGCTGTATGTACAGAACCACAGATTCACATTTTTCTCAGATTCTATAATAATCCAAATGCCATTTATGTAGAGAACTTAATCAATGGCTTAACTTTGAGACTGGAGCATCTGTTTGGTGTTTATGCAAAATCTAATCAAGAAAAAAAAAACAGGAAATGTTTGCCAGGGAAACAGAAGGAGGCTTTTTTTTTTTTTAGAAAAGAAATCCAAACTTTTGGGAGAAATTGTGTCTTATATCACATCAACCTTGATCCCCTCACAGACACCCTGCATGTATGACAGAGCAAAGGGAAATAAATCATCTGACAGCCCTGGTCATGAGTCAAAGCCATTCCCCAGCTCCTGTTAGAGATACTCATCAGTTATGACTAAAGGCCTGGAACCAGCATGTCAAACGTCCAAATGTTTGCCTGGGACAGGAGGAGGAGTAAGAAGGAGGGATGGCAGAGGATGCGGTCAGTTCATTTCACAAAGGTAGTGCAGCTGATCAAACTGTTGTTTTCATTAAATTTATGGTGTATGAATTAAAAAACATACAACACACACACACACACACACGCACACACACACACACACACACACACACACACATAGCAGTTGTTTATGGGATGATATGTGATGTTGATTTTTTAAGCATCCTAGTCTTGCTGTCTTCCTTTAAAAGCAAATATAAAACCATATGGATATATTTTTTTTGTTTTGCTAAATGCTTGTATTTTCCTCCCAACACTTTTTTTTAAAGTAAATTGGTAAGTTCAAAGCTCTTTCCTGTAGACTTAGCATCATCCAAGCATTTCGATGAGCCAGTAAAATAAAAGATGCTTCATTGCCAATTCACGCCCCACCACAAACTCCAAGAACCTTGACAGAGAAGTAGAAATATAGAAAAAGTTGTGGTCTAATTACAATGCTTGCTTGAAAAAATGTGAACCTCAGATTCTTGAAAACAACCATTTTGCATTCATGAGCACATTTTCACGTTCTATATTCTACCTGATACGATCGATACCCATTACATTTTAACATCTGCTGAGCCTAGTCGGCCGGTCCTTCTTCTGCTCATAACTAAAGCACTCCATTGCTGATTATTTGGTCACATAGTCCAGTCCTCATGCCACCCAGAGAACAGTTTTGTACATTTCCCGAACCTCTTTCTACCATTGGACAGCAGCTGGATGAGTCAGAGGATTGTGGGAGACATAATGGCCAGGGGAAACTCTAAATCCTGAATGATTGCATTTACCAACAGCAGCACAACACCTCCACAGGATCATCCGTCACGCCTCCCAACGGGACTCACTCGGGTGTCAGCCAACTGTTCTTCACTCTCATCAAAGCACAAGGGCGTAATAACCATAATACCACCACCTTTGGACTAATAAGTCTAAAATAAGATGTTCTTTAATTTCTTCTATTTTTGTTTCTTATCAATTCTCTTATTTTTGCTGCTTTTACTAGCAGTGGGAGTAAGGAAGCAGGATAATGGGATTCAATCAGTTCTCACGTTTACTAAGATGAGTCTACTTTTTCAAATGAAATGCAAACATTTTGTTTGAGGAAGAAAGGAAGAAAACCATAATCTTTAATATATAAAAACAAAATCTGAAAAGTGTGGAGCCTGTTTGTATTTAGCAATACAATAGATCCACCTTTTGTTGATATAACAGCTACAACTCTGTTAGGATATATGTCTTTATTAGGTTTTCCAGCAATAACATGTCCTATTCCTTTTGCTCCAACTTTAATTGCTGATTATCTGGAAGCGCGGGCCAACATGGACTGAATGGCTCCGTTCCAAACTACAACCGGACTACAATTCAAAAACAGTCCAAAAACTTCTGTCATTGTTCACACCTCCTCCATCTGTTTGCTGACGGACCTCGATGAAACGGATCCCAAGATATCGAGCGCCATCGGACAAATCCCAGGCGGAGCTCTGAAGAGAGATGAGAAACCAGTGCAAGGCGTTGGCCAGGCTAGATCTGCGCCGCTCCTTCAGAGTTACCACGAGCCCCCTGACTGCTTCTCTGATTAATGCTCTCCTCTCCAAACCTCTCGGTTTAAGTGGACGGTCAAGTCTTGGTAGATTTGCAGATTGCGTTGTTGAAGGATGGAGAGAACAGCGCTGTGTGAACTTTACAAAGCTTGGAATATAATTTTACAACCTAACCGACTCTCCTTTAAACATCTCCAGAACTTTATCCCCGACACAGTTTTATCTTTATGATGTTGCCTATTCACTGGGGTTCCCATGCACAGGGGGACTCTATTACTAATTCTGAAGCCAATTGTTGCTCTGGGTTTTATTTCACAGTATCATCGTAAGGGGGAACTAAATATAATACCTTCCCCTTCGTGTTGGTAATATTTATTATAGTTGGTGGTTGTAAATGGGGAAAATGTGGGAAAAGTTTGCTTTGACTCATGCTGTAAGCGTCCCCTTTAATCCCAAACTAAATCAATTCCTAGATTTTGTTCCTGACTCCCCACAGCCGTGGACAGTGATATTTATTATGTAGCTGGAGAAAATTGGACACAGACATGAACAGGGGAAATTGAGAAGCCACACACTGGCATCATACTTGTACTCCCTTAACCCACACACAGTTAGACACCTTAGCTCTCTTGATTTCACACTACCTCCACAGTTTAGTGTTATTTTGCAGCTTGATGATAGTTTTGCTGACACACTGTGAGTCACAAGAACTCTTAAAGATGAGTTTGTCCCCACGGCTGATCTCCAAGGTATGCATTAATGCTCGACTCAACAATCTTTCTGTGCAAAAGGTTAAGAATAAAAGAGTGGGCTCGTTAAACTGAAAGAAAGGGTTGAATTATCAGCGCAAGTCGTGATGACAGGTTTGCCAAAAGGCAGAACCAGTACAGTAAGCGGAGCAACCGACAAAGAGCTATGCAGCAAATCTCTCTCAGTCGAGAGAGATTTGTGGGATTGACCGTAATAAAAGCGTCTTCTTGTAAAGTGCAAGGTAAGAAAAATCCTCCTGCAAACTTCTCATTCTTTCCGTAACTTTAAAATCAGTGGAAATAAGTCAACGTTGGCGAGAGGTCTACGTGATTTTTGAGTTACCTCAGATGCGTTTAAACAATTATGATTTGAAAGCAGACTACCCGTATGAATAATTCATCAAGATGATGCACTGCATTCCACTTCACGGGACTTTTCACTCAAGACTAGAACACCTCAGGCAGCCTTGCTGCGCCAATTAAAGGATTAGCCGCTATGAAGCCAAGCGTGAATAAGCGATAGAAGACATTAGTTATTGGTTTACTCAGCTGCTTCATTCTTAATAACAAAATGGACCTCCAGTGGCTCTTAGAGATAAAGTAAACTCAGAGGCCCAAAGTCTTTGAGTGTAGATAATAAAAGAAAGAGTTCTGTAAGACCTTTGATTTTTTTTTTCCTTTCTACTCCAGACCTTTTCAGGACTGTCTGCTATTAGCCTCTTCCTCTTTGCATTGTGCCTTTGCACAGTGGCTTTATATAATCAGTCTCCATTCTAATAAAATAAAT